GCAACCTGTTCCAGTGTCCCACCACTCTCACTGTAAAGAATTTATTCCTTCTATCAAATCTAAATCTACCCTCTCTTGACTCTGCATGGGGCATATCTATATTCAACACAGGCCTCTGTCTTTTGAGCTACTGGGGGAACTATCACCTGTAAGTCTGCCATCTCCTCTAAACTAGAAGAGGTGGACAGTGACAAAAAGATGTAAATATTTATTTACCCTAGGAGAAGGGGGAGATACAAGGATATTAAGTTCCATTTCAGACTTTCCAGGAAATCATGCTATAGTTTATATTTCTGGTATAGACTGTTCTGTGGGATTTTTCTGTGCATATTCTGCTTCTCCCATTTCCTTTCCTATTGCTTTTCTGATTTGATTTTCTCTTACCTTTTCAGTCCCTGTTGGCTATTCCATCCCACACACATCGTTCCTGCCTGTCTTAGTCTGTTTCTGCAGATCTCACAGCTCAGGTTCCTGTTCCTTTTCTTAATCCTAAACCTTTACTCATTGTTCAGCCAGAATTCTTCTTTCAGCTCTTGGTCCTGATATCCATTCCCTTCCAGTTTCAATTCCTAGCTTTTCATAGTTTTCTTTCTATAACCTGGTTCTGTTTGGGTGTTTGGGACAAGTTCTCTCTTTATTTGACTTGGGCAGCTTCTTCCTTTTTGTGGCAGGGTATTGGGGAAGTCACTGAGAGCTTGGAGGGGATGACCACCACCTCAAATGTGGTCTGGTTTAGTCTGATAACCTCCATTGTGTTTCACCTCCTAACGTGCAGATTTTAAAACTGGGCCTCTATCACCAAGAAGACTAGCAACAAATGAACCAAAGCAGGCTTAGTTTTTGTCAGTAAAATAAACAAAAGAGATCTGAAGAGACACATGACTTAGATTTGTGTGGTAAGAAAATCCTTTTGTACAAACTCAGTTGTATTAAAACCATACTGGGAAAGCCAAACCTCATAATATAAATGTCTGAATATTTTAGTATTCTTTCTCAAGAATTTACTTAGTCCTTCACATTTCTAATATCAGTGGAAACCCCTCAGGAAAATGACATTTTTATAACATCTTCAGTAGTGAGGAACCTTTATTTGCTACATTAAACATTTACAACCCAATGTCTAATCTCCCTGGTCCCCTGAGGTATGTCACTTGGAATGAGTTTTCCTGGCATTCACATCTACCTTAATCATCTGTCTTGAGGCTGTTTTGTTTGGGATTTGAGCGGGTTAATCATGGTGTTTAGATCACAAATTGAATCCTTTCATAACAATAAAAGGGGAAGTTAATTGAATTTTATTTTTTCTTCATAGTGTCATATGCAGTATATTCAGGCTTCTTCTGTTTGCGTTCTCAGTACTATTAAAGAGTTCACTAGCTTTAGGTATTCAGCATAATGAGCAGTTAATAGGTGGAAGATTTCTCTTTGTTTATAAATTCCATAGCTAATTTCATGAGGACTTAGGAAATCACTACTAATTTTGCATTCAACTAGAGCATCATGATAGTTATAGTGCTGCACCTACCCCACCCTCTTCCTGCTGATACTCAATTTTGGCTACTGTTACCGGGAACAAAAAGCTTTCCACAGTACTGATTCAGAATATGAAGCAACTGTCTGCCTGTCTCATCTCCTCGGGTTCTTGCACTGCTACTCATCACTGCAGCCTTAGAGTCTGTATCCACAGCTCCCTGGACAAAGCCCTTTTCATCATTCAGGGGGCACAAAGAAACTGGGAGCTGGATGCAAGGGCCCAGAAGAGCAGGCGCCTCGGGTGAAAAATATCTGGCACTTGAATGCTGTGGCTTGGCTCATGATCTGAGACTATCCCTTTTTTTGACATATTCCCATGTCTGGATATGTTCATAACAGTGCACAGTGTATAAGTGCTTAGAAAAGTTGCTCTGTGGTGCCTGTGCTCTTAATGTAAGACTTTGTTCTCTCATCTCTCACCTGGCATACCTACTAATCACCATATCCCACAGCACTGCTCTGTACTGTCCACATCCTCGTCCACATAGGGCTATTCAGAAAAGGTAGAAGTTCATTTATGCCTGTACTGAAGTGCACACAATGACATTGTGCGCCATGCATGTTAACTTTATGCCTCTAACTGACTCTTGATAACTTACCTCATTTTTCCCCTATTGCACAGTATTGCCCTATATTTAGTACGAGCAACAATCCCATAGTTTCAATCCCATTTATCAACCATTAAGAATTGTCTTTTGTTTTCAAACAGCAGCTATTGTGAGGCACTTTGAAAATCTTGGCTGCATTGTGCTGCTTATTGTGGTTTCTGATAAAAATCAGAGCTGAGAACATTTTTTGTGCTGAAAGCCAAGTGGGTTTTTCAAAAAAACAAACCCAAAAACCATCACAAAAAACCCCAAAGAAAGAAACAAACAAACACTTTTGGCAAGCAACATTTTAGCATAGAATAGTTTCATTTGGAAGGAACCTTAAAGATCATCTAGTTCCAACCCACACAGTAGGGGTGTTAGAACTAGATGATCTTTAGGTCCCTTGCAAACGAAACCCTTCTGTGATTCTATATACTGTAGTGTTATCCAGTAATGACTTAAAAGATTTTTTTCAAATGAGCCACATGGAATGGAACCATTTGAGACCCACCTCATGAACCTTATCCCTTTGCTAGCCTTTGACCCATAAAGCCATAGGTCATTCTAATTCAGAATTTCCAGGCAGCGAAAGTTGCATGTCTCTCTTTAAGAACAAAGTCACCCAGCCCAGAATTCCAGACTTGTTCTACGATCACCAAGAATAAACAGGACATAATTTAAGTAAACCTGTGAATCATGTCTGTCTTCTTCACTTGTGTACATGAGGCCCATAAATGTCACCTTAAACTATCTATTGTATATTAGTGTTGTGTTTTCAGACACTTTGGTGGATTTCTTAGGAGTTCCAAATGTTCCTAAGGTCCTTTTCCTTTGGGCCGTCAGAAATGGAGTTAGTAAAGGATTTCTGTTTTGTGTTAGCTGCATTGTTTCCGCAGCTCTGGTCCCTACTAACTGCATATACTTCTCCACGAGGGAAGGAATTCAAAAGGAAAGAGACAAAATCGGCAGTGACAGTTTATGAGCCAGTGGTGTAGCTCCCTGGTGCTCTGTAGTTATTGGAGGTGTAGTCATGTCTGCTGCAATTCACTTTTTAGTGCTATAAATGAATTTAACAAACGCTTTTTTCAGTAAGGGCTGCAGAGGGATCTGCTGAATTGAAACTAGATAGCCATTAAGTACTCTCTACCAAGAGCTTAAGGGTCTCCTGTCAGAGCAGGTTAAGTGATAATAAACGCAAAGCAAAGAGAATCAGTCTGTAACCCAGAGCGTTGGAGCACGTAAAGCAAACCTCACGATTGACCCTCGTTCCACTCACTTGTCCCTCAGTTACTGTTCTGTAATGAAAAAATCTGGGAGGTCGCAATGAGCACCGTTCCTTTCTGGCCTTTCTGAAAATGAGCAGGTGGATTGGCATCGCTATCAGATGGCAGTGTTACTTCAGGAGAAGTGCAAGCTCTTCCCTTCTTCCCTGGGCATCCTGCCTTTTTCCTTTTCTTGTTTCTCCCAACAGTTTCCTCCCCCCCTCCCCTGCTTCTGGTTTTCCCGGGTTCACGGCTGTTCTGCTGTTCAAATTGCTTTCCAAACACGATGCTGGCAGCATTGCTGATGTGTTTCGAGGGCCCTGCATGGGCCTCTGAGGCCCATAATGACCTTGACTGCTGTAGGTGCTCTCCTACCCTCCTCACTGAGACCACTGTGCTTCTCTTTGTGCTTCTAGCCTCAGTGGGCAACAAAAATATAAGCCACATTCCCTATTATCTTTTAGTGCTCTCATGTTCTCTTATCAGAATAAAGAGCATCTTAGCAGATAAATATCTCTCCCTCTTAATCAACTTCTTTTGAATGGCAGGAGGGGCTGCAGCACAGCTGTTTTTCCTATTTATCTCAGAATTGTCAGTGACTTTATGTTGCTTCTTGTTATCCGGTTACCAAAATTGTTTATAAGTTGATATTCTCCTCTCCTTCTGGAATACTTCAGATGAGGATTTAAATCTCTTTCCTGCTGCTCGCTTACTTTTTTGGGCCATTGTTTGATTAAAGACCCAACAGAGAGAAAAAAGAACTTCATTCAGTGATTCAGTTTTAAAAAACCAGGTAGTCAAGAGTTTTCGCTTGTTTCTTTTTATTTAATGAGATGCTAATAGGTAGCTCTCTTGGTAACTTCCTTGTGGGTTCACACATACTTTTTCCTCGTTCTTTTCATGTTGGATTGGTTTTGGTTCAGTGGTTTGTGGGGTTTTTTGTTTGGCTGTTTTTTAGCTGCAAGAAAGAATGGCAGCAGAAACCTAAATCCCCTGTTACTAAAAATGCTGCTCTCAACCGAGGGGGAATTATTTGCTGTATTTTTACAAGTTCTCTTTCTTTTTTTCTCCAAGGAAATATGGAGATACTGTGTCAATTTTGAGTGTAGATGGAATAATATCTGTTTTGATTTGAAAGCAGCCTTCCATCAAAGTAATATGGTGCAGGACAATTTTCTCTAAAATCAGGCTGTGACTTCAGGCTGTGACTTTAATTGCATTAAATCATTTTTGTAGACTCTTAAGACTTCTGAAAATGAAATATCACTGTCTTATTTCAATGCATAAGGGCACCTCCCTTAACTCTTATTCTGGGGTATGTTCCTTTCTTTGCAGTTAATAATGATGTTGATATCAGACATTAAAGTACACATTTTAAATGAATCTGTTTTATTTTCTTCACTATGAAAGACAGTCGAAAACCAGAATCTTTGGTAATTATAAATGGGTGAAACTAATGATAAATAATATGTTCCTGCTTCTAAATGACTGTTAAGATTTAGCTAGCAGAACTCTTTTGTGAGGAAATAAAAAAAAAGAAAGAAGCATATTACAAAATTTTTAATGTTCATGAGGTGTTAGTTAAAGAGGTTTGTCTTTGTTTTTGATTTTCTAGCCATTCCCCTAGGAATTATAGTGGTACGAGGAGACTGTGACTTGGAGACCTGTCGTATGTACATTGACCGTCTCCAAGAGGTGAGGTTTTTATTATTAACATATCATACATTAATCTATAAATGCTTCTTCCAGTTCTGAGTGCAGAGATCTAATAGTTGCAACAACCATGTATTAGGAGTATTGCAGATTGCCTATCACTGAAACCAAAACTTTGGAGTTCTGATATGATAATAAAAGCACAAGTAACACTGAAAAATATTTTCTAAACAGGAAATCAGAGTTCATACTGACACCTTTTAAATGATAACAAAATTGACCTGAATATTTTCTTCTCCTTGAACTGAAATGGAATACCAGGACTCTCCATGTACCTTTCTGAAATTATACAAATTGTGCATCAGACAGTGTATTGTGTAAAGATAAACATCATGATATCCGAGTAGGTCTAATTATGCAAGTGCCATTCGCCAGTACTGTCATGGAATCATCTGAGACACCAATAAACATTACAAATATCAACTAGATATTTCCAAATATACAGAAATATATGTCTATGCAGCTAATAATAGTGTTGCTCTTACTGTCTTGAACACCTTGCCTCAGCATAGTTTTCATTCTACAATACAGTCTGGGAAATGGAGACTCCAAATGTTCTATTACCTATATAATTTTAAGTGTGTATACATTTAGTGATAGAACTAATAGATTTTCATTAATATAATATCTCTGACTCTTTAATTTTTTATTGATATCTTTTAACAACATTTACAAGCGTGAGGACATTATGTAAGTTTCTAAATAGGTGGTTCAGTTTACACAGGAGCTATGAACCTCATCCCTCCCACTGGACTCTTTGGGAGCCACTTGCTTCTCTGTGGTTTTGAAACTCTGCACTTGGAGCATGAATATGGGCCTTAGTATCTCACTAAAGGCTTTCAATTTGCATTTCAGCCAGGATTCCCTTCATCAATGCATTTCTGAACATTCAGGCCAGAGGTGTGGTTATTACTATCAGACATAAAATCATATTGTAAGGTGATGTGTATTTGAGACAGCCAGTGATAGAAAATGACAAATAATTGCGATCATGTTCTCAATAGATTACAAATGTGATGTCCTACTGAGATCAGACAACTTAATCCGTCCAGTATTGGGTTGCGCATAGTTGTATGGTGCTGGAGGAAGCACTGTTAGAAGTTCTGGATAAATTACCCATAGTGGTTGTGGAGGAATTGTGCTTCTCCAACCTGTTGCAGGTTTTGTACTACATTTTTGAGTGTGCTTGATTTGGCTCAGACCCTTTTGCTGGGAATGGGCTTCTGCATTCTGAAACTGAAGAGCTGTGGTCTGTAGGCCAGGCTTTTTGGTAGGCTATGTCATGAGCTAAAGCTATTAGACAAAATCTCTATTAAAATAAATTAGATTCCTGAGCCTTGCTGAATACCAGAGTCATTCTGATATGACCTCCCTGACATGAGGTTGTCTGAGAACAGGAAGAACTGCCAGTGGTTTTCTTTAGTGTGTTAATTGCTCAAAAATATTTGCAGAAAAGATTTATGGATTTCAGCACCTCTTCTTTCATTTTGTTGCTGATATTCTAAATTTAGATAGTTTTCATGGAATGAATAGGTCTATGATATGGTAAAGATCCATTAACATAAACTGTTTTTGAAATGGCTTTTTTGACCAAATGTATGCAAATCCAAAGTCAGAAGTGAGATTTCTATAACTATTCCATGGTGTTTTTTTCAGTGAGAAATACTTACAAAATTATTTGTGTTTGCCCAACCACTTCAGATAGTGGAATCGTAAACAGTTTTTGTTGCTTTAACTTTTTTCATCATTGGTGTGTCTTTCATCTTCCTACTAGGACCTACAGTCAGCAAGTTCTACTACACAGAGAGTTCATTACCAGGTAAGATGAAGGTCTTATTTTTAGATACTAGTATGTTAGATGAATTTCTGAATACCGTTTACCCTCAAATGCTGGAGGTTCATTCTGCTTTCCCTGGGACAAACCTTTCCCTTGCAAATTTTTACGGAATAATCTTTAAAATTAGCACAGAATGATGATTTGAGTGATATTGCAGTAGCAATGCCTCGTGTCTCGAAGTGAATGAGAGAATGTGTCCTATAGGACAAATGACAAAAGTAAAATTGTTTCTCTGTGTGAGAAACTGAACAATAACATGTTGTATTGCACAGCTGTAGTAATAAAGTCTATCACTGAGAAAAGAGGTGTGCCAGCAGGCCTAGACTCTTAATAATTCCGTGCAGCTTAGTTATCTACCTTTAGTTTAACATAATCTTCAGAGTAGTTTGTTGGTTTGTTTTTTTGTGTTTTTTTTTTTTTTAATCCATTCTGGGCACAAATGCGTCTTTTGAATGTGACAAACAGGTTCTAGTTTGAGGTGGTTAGTTTTAAAAATTGATCTGTTTTTGTGTTTTACAACTTTATTGTACAATTTTCATGGTACAGAACTTGGCTTTGCAGCTAGAAGTACTGTTAAAGAATGTTTATTTCTCAGTAAAATCCTGCGCTGCATAGTACTTAAATTGGGAGTAAATAACTGAGACTGACTCTACTGACTCCTGAGCTGGTCTGACATCAGTGCAGAGACTTGACATAGACAGTGGTCGATTGACACAGTGCCTGGGATGACAAGACAAGTTTGCGCAGTGTGGATAGCCTTTTCCTAGATTTAACAATATAAGTCTTTTTGGAATCATCAGGAATGAGTTAACTGTGAAAGCATACAGAGGTCCAGCTTACACGAACCCATTGCGGTGAGATTATAATTTCTTGGGGCCTAATGATTACTTGGGTGATACAGAATTCCATTTTGGCCAGAATGCCTGAAAATGGACTGAAGGCAGGAAGAGTCTATGAGAAAATGCAATTTGGCATGTTTTTCTGGAGTTGCCTTTTTCATACCAGTTCATAGTTTATTTCTGCATTTTCCTGTCCAATTTTAACCTCGTATTTTTGACATTTGTATCAGTCATTGTCCTGGAACTGAGTTTTGGAGCACTGCTAGTGTCTAGTGAATTGGCTAATAAACCAGCTTGTATTATTCTGTTCCACTCATTATAAATTAACCTAAGTGGCTGCTGACTGGTCCATGCATAGGGAACTGCCTGAGGTAAAATGAATAACTAAATCTGTGTGTATGGGGAGGGCCAAAAGAGAGTATGAAATGGCGGAAATCAGCCCCATATTTGTCTCTAGCCTCTGCACTTACAGCAGTATATAAATTAATTGCCTAGCCATCTTCTCCAGTGCATATCAGTGTGAATTCCCTAATATGCTATCAATTTTTTATGATGTTACATTTTGAATGCACCCCCCTCTGTGTTTTGTCTTCAGTACTTGTTTATTCTGAATTCTTCAAACGTTGGTTTATTCTCAGTGGGTCATTTCTACAAACTGGTTAGGTTAATTTAAGGTTTATTCCATGCTTGTTGGTATCCCTCTACATATTACAGAAAGTGGAAAAAACAGGGGATAAAGGGCATGAATATGGTACTTGAGTTGATAGAACTGTCTTCTTACCTCACTAATAAGGTATCATGGGTACTTTTAGGTCTCATAAATGTAGTTCTCTTGCGTGACTCCTCTGCAGCTCAAAACATGGGGAGTCAGCAGAAATAGCATCAGCAAGCCCAGGTGCAAATAAGAAAAATGAAGCTAGAGTTGTTTTTCATTTTGTTTTTTTTCTCTAATGAGATTAATACTTATAAAATAACATTCTCATGGGTCTGAGACTTCCCAAGCTAGTTCTGCAGTTGAACTCTAACGAAGTCTTGGAAAGAGCATATGACAATATGCAATCTGTGACTTGAATTTACATTTAACAGCATTATCCCTATTTTCATTTTCCCAGCATTATGTACTCTGCCAGGTCTATGAATTTTTATTCATGCCTCCTCTTTGTATCATCTACCATTTTATTATACATGGTTAACTTTGGATGTTTTCTTCTTTTTGTGCTTTATATCCTAATCCTTACCTTTCTGCAAACAGTAGGCTAAATATTAAGATACATAAAGCTTTGTGCATGTAGATACATACGCTTTAGCAAACCAAGTGGATTTTGAGAAGGTCTTGACTCTCCCATATACCCCTCAGTTGGACACAAGCAAACCTAAACACCCCACAACTTCATAAGCCCATATTGGAGAAAGGCGTAGGTGTGTTCTAAAGCTGATGCTTAAACCACCAAGATATGTCATTTGGTCCCCATGACATAGTTCACTTTATGGAATGTTATGCTGTCATTATTTTAATCTCTCCTGTTAAGCACAGAGGTTGGGGACAAAAAACTGTACATGAGAGAAAGGTTTATGGGATCAAGTAAAATCTGTGAATCTGAACATGGGAGAAAATTGAGGCTGTTTCATTTTTGTCAGGGTGTTTATAGATGCAGGTATCATGCATCAGAATATATATATGTAAAAATATTTTTTTTTTAGTCAAGCAAGGTCTGTAAGTTGCTGCAATAACATTTGAGACAGGATCTGTTACCAGGACTATAGCCAGACTCTAGGATACTGAGGAAACAACAGATGAGCTGTCTGGAGCCGTCTTTGCTCATCTTTGTTTTTCTGTCCTGGATAACCAGAAAGGAAAGGCTATAATTGATGGTTCCAGTCAATCCCAGAGACAGAAGCTAATAACACAAATCTTGCAAAAGCTGTTGTGATACCAAATGAAATTAAGAACATTTTGTAGCAGCATCACGCCAGGCACTGATATGCATTCACCTGGCTGAGAAATGAGTGTCCATCGAAATGCAAAACGCTAATCATCATCGCAGCTGCTTGAAAACACCACATAGTGCATGCAGGCACCCTGCTAACCAGGGAGCTGGGGAAGCCAAGAACTTGTGCTTATCTGTACCTCATTTTTTTTCCTCAAGTGGCTGAAAAAGTGTCAGATGTAAATCAAAGAGCCGAGTCTGGCTCTTAACTTAAGGGGGCATTATTTGCTTTGTAATCAGTATGAAAATTTTTTTACCCAGTCAGACTGAAATGACAACTTCTTTCAACATTCTTTGAAGTTTTTCCGAGGTTGAAGAAAGCAAACTGCTTCTTCCCCACAGTCTCACTGACACATATCTGGGAAGTCTGGGGAATTGAACTGATGAAACTCCAATTTTTCTGTCACTATATATATTCTTTTTTTTTCTTAACTTTTTCTCACATGTGGCTACTCAGATAAGAAGTATTTTAGAACTACATCAGATTTGCAAAACAGTAAGATAAATTGCTGAGAAACATCTATTACTTCTATGTTTTATTAATTATATAAACACTAGTCAGTAAAAAAAGAGGAAAATAAGAAACTGTGAACCTTTGAGAATCTGTATGAATGTTCCAGGTGTGTTGGATGTGTTTAATACACCATAACCTTTTATTTTAACTCTGTGTGGGTGTTTCTGCACTTTCCTTCTTGTATACAAAGCAGTCTCACTTTCCTCCTTCAAAGGCTGCGGATGGTGCCAGCTGCCTGAGGGAATGGCAGGTTTTGTGTCACTTGGAGTCTCTCACTTAGGCTGTGTGCCTTTCTAAAAGGTCTGCTGTAGTTCAGGATGGAGTGGTGGATTTCCCTGTTATACTAAGGTTTAAGAGTTCATAGCTCTGTTATCCCTTCTGGATGAAAACTTGTGATTGTTTGAAGTCTCTTTTTGGAACTCTCTCTGTCAGCCAGCCTTTAACTTCTGGTGTTGGACCTTCAAACATGTATTCACCTGATAAAGCTGTACAATTCCCAATATGAAAAAAAAAATTGTCCTGCATCCTGCTAGGCTCCTGTATAATATTCTGAGAAGTTCTATTGATATAACATTGTATCCTGGTCTGTTTTCGTAAATCTATGTCCATTTTATGAATGTATGTACACATACGTTATTCACATTCTGTGCTTTCTGTGCACAGCAATACTTTTCTCAAAAGTACTTTTCCTCCCCATTGCTTCTACTTTTTCTTTTCCTGCCTTGTGATTTGGTATACCATTCTGTAGTCTGTTGTCTGAAGAAGGAGCAGAGTTTAATCTTGAGCCCGTGTGTGCCTGAATTGACATAATATGCAGATGTGCTGATTTTACTGCTTAGGATATAAATTAGGATAGAATCTGGCTCTATACAAATTTTGGGGTTGTGTGCTTGAGATCCATGCCTTTGTGTTTTGCCTTGTGCAAATCTATTCGTGTTTAATTGTGTGCCACTGGCTTTGGGAAGTTGGCTGGCCATCCACTGGCAGCATGGAGCAGACCCATGACCACCCTCTGCTTTCTGAGATCCCTTTTGCCTCTCCAGCTCACTGAGAGCTGAAAAAGCAAGAGGCAGCCAGTTTGACTCTTTGGTTAGTACAGGTCAGGAAGAAGGGCTTAATTCCTCCTCATTTTGTTTGGTTCTGAAATAATGTACATTGGCTCCCAGGAAGCCCATCTTTTTAGCCAGAAGAGGAAGATGTGGATTGAGGATGTCTGTTTGCTTGGGCAGAGGTGGTGGTTCCCAGGTCTGTGCTCTCTGCGTTTTGGGTGCTGAGAATAACACTTCTTTTCCCCTGATGTGCATTTGGGACACAGCAGGGACAGGAGAAGTGGGCAATTACTTTGAGTGGTGGATCAGTATAGGTGGGAAAGAGAGTAAAAGTACTGAACTAGGATACAGGAAGGTGACAGGCACACAAGAAACAAACATAGGAATTGGAGTTCATGTCTGTTGTGTACTGATACTGATGTGTATCTTTTTTATCTCTTTCACCTCTCTCTGTTCCTGTGTCCCCACAAATAAAGGGGGCTGTAGGCAGCTGAGAAAGCTGCTTTTGATGCAAAGCTTTTTGGTATCGCTGAGGCTGAAGCTAACCGAGTCGGTTTACTCTCTTCTGTATCACAGGCAAACCCTGATGTTGGTGAGGACCAAATCCAGTGGGTTTGGGCTACATAGGTTTTGCCATTGTGCAATGTCAGTAGAGCAAAATTGAAACAAGCAGAGAAGAAAAAATAGTCCTTTTTATTAAAAAATAATTTTTTTTTTCTCTATTATTTCCCTGCCCTATCCAGGACCAAGAAAGCTCTTTCCCCAGAGTACTTTCTGTTCAGAGGCTCTCTCCTAGATGGTGCTTCCTAGACGGTAAGTACATCTCCCCTCTCTTGTGCCTAGCATGCTGCTTGCTTATGGTGTGCATGTGCATCTGAGAGTATCACTATGGAGGGGTAACTGTTTCTTCTTGTTACACTGAGCAGGTTAAAAAGGAGCTGAGTAGCCCACTTTCCTCTCTGAAAAAAATGAAACGGTCCCTTCATCTAGCAATCAAAACGCCTGCTGTAGCTTTGTCACCCGAAGGAGGCACGTTCTTCTAAGGGTGGTTAGAGGTTTGGTTTATTAGTGTCTCTGCTGTGATAAGCATCACTTACTGCATAGCAGTGCCTGGAGTCAAGAGTGCAGCCAGTTGTGGAAACATGCTGCTGCTGGAAAGGCTGTGTTTTTTGCTCTGGTTTCTCTTTAAGCACTATAGTGTTTAGGTGACAGAAAAGTGCCTCCCTTTCCCCGTAACACTGTATTTCATGTGACTCCCTGGAGAGTTGCACTTGTATTTGACCCAGACTTTGTTAAAGCAGACGGCTTATCTGGGTTTTTCATCAGGCTCCAGAGCACTGGAATTAGCAGCTAAGATGGATGGCATCTGCTCTTGCAAAATCTTCAGCATGTAGGGACTGAAATTTTTATTGTACTAAACAAATACAATTTCTCCTTGATAATTTCTAATCGCTTTTCCTCATCTCTCATGAGGGAAACTGATAAAATACATATCAAGAATCTGCTTGGGTTTTGGAGAAAGCTGAGTGGGTAGATGCATTCAGTTTTTGTCCCTTGCAGAGCCAAAACCTACAATGCTATGTACTGTGCTCTTGTGTCAAAACTCCAAAATGAACAAGTCTGATTTCACTGGCCAAACTAAATGTGAAGCAGAAACAACAAAATTCCATCCAATGAAGCATACTGTAGGTGATGAAATATTTCTGGGTTTGGTGATATAAATTGTTTGGCAGTGACATGATTTGTATTAGGTGCTTTATTTAGTGAATCTCCCCTATTTTCATGTGTTTTTCATGAGTAGCATAAATTTTCCTTGAATGTATTGGTAATTCAGGCTGAATATCTGTGGCTATGTATTTGATTTACAAAGAGCTCCCGAGCATGTTATTGTTCTTTATATTCAGCATTTGAATTAATCCTATTAGACCCATCAATTTCATGATATGCTTGTTTTACTCTCACCAGAACAATGCAGCTTTTTGTGTCACTTTTTTAATGTAATCAGTACTACTTATATTTTATATATTTTTAAATATTTATTTCAAGCTAATAATTTCAGTGAATATTGTTTTTTTTATGTCTCACCTTTAAATTCACTATTTAGTGGTACAGGAATATGAACATAATGAATGAATGAGATTTTATTCTTGTGAAACAGTTGTGACTTCACTGACACACAGGTTATCTTAAGTGGTGATGATTTTAGCTCAGCCCATATTGTTCATGCAGCTCTGCTCAGACCATTTTCTTCACTGTGGTTCTGTTATTTCTCTGTCTTGCAGCAACTTCTGCTGATCGCTTTTACCGCATTGACAGATCTCAGGTAAATCTTTATTCGGTTACTGTTTCTATAGATTTTTTTTTTTTTTAAAGCTATGTCAAGTGCAGCTTAAAATGAATTATCTGCCATCCCTCCTGTGTATTATAAAATGCTACTGATGTCTCATGAAAAGTAGAGAAAAAATTCCAGGCCATTTTTTTAGTTGATGTAATACACATCGTTTCACTGAATTTTTATATCTGCTGACCACCTGCTCTTCTGTTTACTATCAATCTGATGTACAGATCAGAATTTTCTACATTTGTCATCCTTATCAAGTCTTACTAAGGGCATCTGTGTGACACTAGAATACTTGAGTTTATTTTTTCACTGATGCTTTTGGTCACCAGAGGTCCTGATTGTATGTGCATGACATGGAATAACTATGGAAATTAAGGTGATGTTATGAGTTGAGAATTATGACCAGAACTGTAACAAATATTCCCGAGAAACCCCAAAACAAAGTGTAGCTCCGTTGGATTCAAACCTGTGATATAGATTTGACAATCTGAATATATTTTCTAAAAGACACTGAAAATTTTTCAGACCTTTTGGTATTTCTGATTTATAGCCAGAACAGGTCAATTAGTGGCTCAGCATTAAGTGCAAACTGCTGATTTCATACAGTGGTCATTTGTATCTGGTCCCCCTGAGGACTGCATAAGCTGTTTCTGAATAAGAGGAACATATGACTGTTTCCTAGCCAATTTTGAAATGCAAACCTCAGCTTTGTAGGTAGACCTCCAGTTTTCAGCTGAATGACAGAGAGTCACTGTGTAGCAGCCTTCTAAGCATTGCTGTGAGCGTGCAGCTTACTGGTTAGGAATCTTGTCTGGCTTGAAATTGATGAAGTGTTTATTGGTGACTTAGCGGCATTGGTTTCAGTGTGTGTATGTGTGTGCACTTAAATAAATACTCAGAGTGCCATGAATTCTCTTTAGAGACCACGATGTGCCCCTGGCTTTCCTATAGCCACCTGGGTGCCCAGAGACACCAGTGATGCTGCAAATTCGTTATTCATTCCTTGTATCAATCCAACAGGAACATTTGCACTTTGTGACGGAAATTTCGCAGGACGAGATTTTTATTCTGGACCCAGAGATGGTAATGTCACAGCAGGTGGGGACGCCACCCGGAATGCCTGATCTGGTAGTGGAGCAGGCCTCTGGGTGAGTGGTGCTGGGATCAGGCCTTCAGCAGTCGTATTGGAGTTGGACATCTCTTTTCTGGTCCCCTTTTCTGAAGGGTTGGGAAATGTGAGGGGGCAGATCTTAGGTGGGGAGCTGGGAACAGGATCAGATGCAACCATGGTAATGACAAGAGGATGGTGAAATAACATCTACTCCATCAGACATCCTGGAATACACAGCTGGACTAATGGACTTTAAACTTTTGGATCTCTTCACACCGAGTCTATTTGTCCTGCCATAAATCTATATTGATTGAGTTACAAACTCTGACTACATAGTCAGGGCTCTGATAACAGGCTCTGGAGTCCTCTGTGCCTAAGAATGATAATGAAGTGTCTCTGTTTCTTCTCAGCCCCTGGAAAGACCAAAAATGCTCCTATTCATCTATAGGAACAGTCTCATACTCATAGTGAATTAAGCTATTTTAGCTTGCTATGGGCAGAAAAAAATACTGGGAACCAGTTAGTGTAAGAGAGCTTCAAAGTGGTGCGTGTGAGGTAATTTCTGAAGGGTGAATGCCTTTCTCTTCTTTCTTCCCTCCCTAGAATATCAGATCGGTGGAACCCTGCGGTTCGAAAGAGGATGCTGAGTGACAGTGGCCTTGGCAAGATTTCCCCGCACTACGAGGTACCTGACAAACAAAAGGACGCCAGCCAGACACATATGCTGCAGTAAGAGCCCTCTGCATTTCTCTGCTTGATGATGCACTGTCACCATCACCACAAGCAACTCCTAGTGGCTCCTTTAAGCTTAATCAATTGTGCTGACATGTTGAAATTACAGAAATCCTTTTGCTTCTTCTCATTTGCTCCTCTCTTCTGTTTCTTCCTCTTCCTCCATTATTATATGTTCTTGCCTTTGTTTTTTCTCTGTGGCACCCTGCACTATTCATAAATCTAGATCCAAGTTTCCAGAAATAAATACATTATTTTTGGATACCTGAACTTCCAGCTAAGGGAGCCTTCATGGCAATTGGTTATGAGAGAGACTGAAGCACTCACCCTTGAGGTTATCTCTGATGCAATGTGACAAAGCAGAAACCTCTACAATTGCTGCTTACTTTCAAAGATGTAGGCAAAAGTTTTCATATAATCTTGAACCAGAGATACTGTTGTTGGTGTAGGATGACTAAACAGTGGATTTGTTGCTGATAATTCCCTCATGAAAGAGATTTCTACCACTGCAACCCCGTTTTCTGTGTTCAGATTTGTGTAAGAGAGTCTCTTCTTGCCTGTTTTAGAAGTATTTCTCAGCTTTTTGGTCCTTTCACACTAGATTGTCAAAACCAGCAGTAGATTAGTAATTGCTACCGAGGTTAAGATGGGGGAGGCACCTGTCTGAACTCTGTTGCTGGGTCTGAAAAATTCTAGTGTTTGGGGGTTGTTTTTTCCCCCCAAGTACATGTGATTCTGTGTGTACATCTCTGTTTTCTCCCATTACCCTGAGGGATTCTGGATCAGGTTTTGGTTTTGTGCTTCTTGCACATAGGATGGTGGATTGAGATGCAGTTTTCCACGGACTGGAATGGCAGGGCCTGAAATTTGGGGCTTGTGAAGCTGGAAGAAAAATGATGCTTAGACACTTTTAGGCAGTGTGGAGAGATGGTGACAACATGTGGAATAACTTCTAATTGATAAGAGGAATGATTTCACTTACATCAGCATGATTGGAAATGTTTGCTTAGCTGGAACAATTATGTTTGGTAGATTTATTAATTGCAAGCAAAGTCAGTAGCACTGCCTGGAGTAAAGTGTACTTGTCACTACCTACTATGAGGAACTGTTTCCTTTACAGCTTCTCCAAACTTTAATCATTTTGGCTGAAATTTTTCATGCTAAGACTCAGTCTTTGATTGATTCTTTCTCTTTGCTTTTAGTTAAAACTTTAACAAAAAAAGTCAGTTGTTTCTGAAGACAAGATCCGTGAGAGATGGGTTGCTTTAAATTACCTTCTTTAAAAATAAATAAATCCAGCAGTTGTTCCCTGAGGCATTTCAGTCATGGCAGTGGAATGAACTCATTGGAATGAAGCTTTGGAGGGCTGGCATTCGATAAAGTGTCACTATAATATGGAGGAGATACCTTTTTCTGTCTAGAGAAAAGCACCCCTGAGTTTGCCCTAGAGATCAGGTTTTTCATGCATGTTGGAGACACCTCAGATTCAAGAGCTTTGTTTTCAAAAGTTTCTGTCTACACATGCTCACAGAGGAGTTACGTTCCTCTTGAATTAATCCTGGTTGCAGGCCTGCCCCGGGCTGAAGGAAGTGGGGGACTGCACTGCTCACTAGTTCATCTCCAGTAGCAAGGAGAAAAGGGAGGTAGCAGTCCTGGTCACATGGAGATGGATCAGAAAAGGAGTATGGAAGAATAAGGTAAAGAAGTTGCAAGAGCCAAAGGAGAAGAAGAAAAAAGGGAATGTTCGCAGGAACTTGGGAAGCAGGGTTAGGGGATGGGAGCTGGCAATTATGAGCGCAGGGGACATGTAGATGTCTGGGAAATGAGAATGAAAGATTGAGAGGGAGGAAGATGTGGGGTGCAGATAAGTCAGAGGGAAGTCAGGGATGTTAGGGGCATGGGGGAAAGGGTCTGCGATTGTTTGTCCCCGGAATCTGGAGTTCTGGGCTGATGCAAATTATTCATGATATTAGTGGGCAAGCTCTGAAGTATGTTTGGACACTGCCTCATTTGCTGCCAAGCTGGAAGGTGTATAGTAAATGAGGCAGGGGGTTGCGGTGGAGAAAGCAAGGTATTATTGCAGTTAAGGCATTTGAGTGATGCTCTGAAGGACTGGCTTCTCCCTTCAATTTCCCTGACAGAGTTTCTGAATGATGCAGATTTAAAACAAACTTTTCACAAAAAGCCAGTAACAACAGGCTCCTCATTCTATGCGTGTCCACTGTGAAGTAGGATGGGTTCCTGGGAGGCCATTACAAGGAGACTCTGAAAAACAAAAACAGTGAAGGGCTGCAAACTGAAAAATAGTCTTTCTGCGTGCCTCAGGTTGTATTACAAAAATTAATGAAAAATTTGTGCCTGCCTTCCTTCTAACTCATTTGCTCAGCTGCAGAATACAGATAATATTACAACCTCACCTTAGAGGAGCACAGTGAGGGTAAATTTTATGGTCACAGAAAACTTGGATACTATGGGGAGATTCTGTCAGAGATGCTTAGGAGAAAATTAATCATTTTACATTCTGTACACAGTTTTGCTAGTGTGGAATGAATAAATCTTGAAGCTGTGCACTGCATATACAAAATACAAAAGAATATCAAGCAGGTCTCTATTTAAATACTGGGGCAAGAGTCCAGCAGAAGAAAGTAGCAGGTAGCAATGTGGTTAAAGGTTGCTTGAGTGCAACAGGGCTGGAGTATGATGTTTAGATGATATGAGCTCTGGCATTTCCAAGCTTCTGGGTGCTTGACTTTGCAACCTACAAATCTTCCTAACCTAGCAATTTAAAGAAAATGGACTATTATATTTTGGCAGCTAAATTAAACAAATCTTCCTAACCTAGCAATTTAAAGAAAATGGACTATTATATTTTGGCAGCTAAATTAAACAAATCTTCCTAACCTAGCAATTTAAAGAAAATGGACTATTATATTTTGGCAGCTAAATTAAACAAATCTTCCTAACCTAGCAATTTAAAGAAAATGGACTATTATATTTTGGCAGCTAAATTAAACAAATCTTCCTAACCTAGCAATTTAAAGAAAATGGACTATTATATTTTGGCAGCTAAATTAAACAAATCTTCCTAACCTAGCAATTTAAAGAAAATGGACTATTATATTTTGGCAGCTAAATTAAACAAATCTTCCTAACCTAGCAATTTAAAGAAAATGGACTATTATATTTTGGCAGCTAAAGTAACTTACAGGTTTTTTACAGAGGTTTGTCCCTTCAGAAATTATTTTTCAAATAAAACTTGTGAAATTATTTTAGCAAAATTGCCCAAAAGGAATATGGCAGAGCATAGAGGAGCAGTTCCTCCTGTAGGTGGAGTTCTCGTGGATCTTTTAAGAGTCATCAGTTTCCATCTGTGTTTTACATCTAGTCCGAAATACCATACAGTATTTGCAGCTCAAAGAGCAATATTCTACAGCCTGTCCCTAGGGCAAGTGACGGGGCACTTGCTGTAAGAGAAAGTGTCATTAGTTGACCCACTGGAGCTGTTTTCTCAATAGTCACTTCTCTCTAAAACAGGGGTTGAGAGTGACCCTCCTCACACATTAGGAGCAGATTAAATGACAGTTATTGTATGGCTGCAGGCTGCTTAGAGTGTCTCTGGTATAGCTAGACATACTTACGTGTGTGTGTGTATACATATGCATATAAGATATACATATATGTATAACCTCTTCAAGACGAAGTAATTATTTCTGAGAAGTGAGGAGTGTAGCTAAAATAGAGAGATCCCCTAAATTACTTCAGCAGATGAAAGTAGAGAAGAGAATATGTGATCTAAAAATAATTATGATGTTTGGTGTTGCTTGTGATCATAAGCTGTTGGGGTGAAGAATAATTTGACCGAAATGGTTTTGAGGCAGGAGTCTTTCTGAGAGAATATTTATGCTTTTGTTTTTAATTAAGTGACCGTCGTGTTAGTTAATTTTCAGATGGCTTTTGATTAATGGTATTTCATGTTTTGCTCCCTTTCTGATGGCTCTTTGATGTGTGACTGACGTGTGGACTGGGCAGGACATAAAACAGCATCTTGATGCAGTAACCAGGAGCTGGGGCAGATCATAGCTTAATAGGAACATCAAATTAGTGTGAAAGGCACATACAGAAAACAACGGGGAGACAATTACTAGAACTACTGGTGCTTGATCTTGAAAAAAGCTAAGTATTCTGGGCTCACTTCACTGAAACATATAATTGGACTCTTCCTTTGAACACGAATGGGTCCGTCATCCTGATTTATCCTATGATCAAATAGCACAGAGATGGGGTTGACCATCCCCTCACAGCCTGCTGCAAGCATTCATTGTTGGCCATATATTTCTCTTCCTGGTTATGTGTTTGTTGCCCTGTTATGTGATGAGAGCTGGAAAATAAAATAAAATGAAAACCACAACAGCATACAAAAATTAAAAGGTGACTCTACCTTGGTAGAGGTTCAAGCTACATCTTTTAATTGAAGTCATTAATTTTCCCATTGTCTGGGATAGTAACAACCACTCTTCTAGCATCTGTCCAGCTGTGGGTGGCAATGTGTTTCCAAAGCTGCTAGATGCATTGTCTGAATTGTGTGCATGGCTTGTGAAGGGTGGGTGAAGGTTGGCCTGAGTGCCATCTGGTCCTGTCAGGGAGAGGAAGACAAAATGCCTGTGGGGGCTGGAACGTGGCTGCAGCCCTTTACACTAAATAGACATTAATTAGCTAGTAATACTACCAAGGCTCTGCTGTATGAGGCAATAATAACCTAGTTCCTGAGAGGGAAGAAGAAAAAGGCCGAATGCCAACTGTTTCAGCTCAGCCACAAGAATCAGATCATTGCCCAGGATGTCAGTGTGACAGTACAGATGTTACCAGGTGGTTTGGGTTTTATTTTTAAAGAGAAATCTTTGTGTGGTACAAGGTGAGAACGGCATCAGGGATGCAAGTTTGCATGTAGAAAGGAGAAGGAATGCTCATCTGGTGAAAATCAGGAAAATATAATGAGG